AATCCGACCATACATGGCCCGTCACAGGCTCCCTCTCCCTGCTGCTCTCTTTTCATCTCTCTCTCCGTTTGCGCTGTTATCTTGTTTCCTCAGAAAAAGATGCTGTAGGTTGAATTTCTTCCACTGGCTTCTTTCGGCAAGAACATCAAAGAGTGTTTGTTTGATGAGAAGCCAGGATGCCAGACTTCAGTCAGAAAGGGAAGGTCCAGTCCTGTTCGGGAGACGTGTCCCAAACCATTTATCATCACTCCTCTTTACCTCAACCACAACTGTACCTCTTCACAGGGTTCCCACCCTTAGGAATTCTTTTTTTCCAGTGACACCGGGCACAAGAAGTTGGATGGAATGTTTTTTTCTCTGTGTAATAAAATGGACAATATATGTTACACGAAGTTTCCCTTTTTAGCTCACTGCTGCTTTGCCATGCTGCAGTAACATAACTCAAATCCTTGTTCATAAAAGTAAAAAGTGTTTGTTTTTATGAACACTGCATCTGCTAATCATAAGGCAACTGTTCAACATTTCTTCTGCATTTCATAATAACACTGACTTCAGTTTAAAATAAGTCATTGAAATGTAGATTTATACAAATAAAAGTATGCGAGTGCCTCTGGGGTCCAGTGCCAAGTGCAAAATTAGATGTTTTTATAATCATGAAACTACAGTGACAGTGACTCAGGTTGTATTACCATGAAATAATCTTGATTCTTGTTTCCCGCTGAGTTTCAAACCTGGATTGCTGCCCGGGTGCTGCCAAAATGCAGCAACAGCGAGCCATGCACGATGCACTTCAGCGTGTGATCTGGCTTAAATGGCATTTCGCTGCAATATCTCCAGTATGTCGTAGACAGATCGGATCAAACCGACACTTGGAAACTATAAACAAAAACCTTTACTCTGTCTGGAAAAGCATACAAAGAAAGATATTTTTCCCCTTTATTTGCGAGGTCTTGATATTTTAATGAAATTTTAAATAGACTCAGCTGAATGAAAGGTTTTTAAAATGTTATGGTTTGACCTTGAGTCTTTGTGAAAATCACAGGGACACTACTACACTACACTACTTGTCTAGTGTGGGATGACCTTCTAATATAGAAATTTCTGTGGAAGGATCATCTTCAAAAGTAGATTATCTTACCTGTTGCAACACATGTGCTCATGTCAATTTCTATAATTAGTGTATTCTTATTTAAAAAGGAAACTCTTGTGTAATTCCTTATTTTCTTATTCCTTATTTTATGTCATCTACTTACTGTTTCAATGGCTGCTGCCCAAAATAAACTTGGACAAGGTTTCAAATATTGATTATCAGTGTATGTGCGAGTAATCCTTATGAGCCCAAACCTCAGACTTCTCTGGACACTAAACAGTTACAGACATTTCTTTTCTACTCTGGGCTCTATATTAAATAAGACAGAACATCTCAGATACACAGCCCTGGCTGTGCACACAGACTTTCTGTTTAGTAAGTAAAAATGTATATGTATGTCACTACATGCAAATTTGTAAAACAGATTAATATCTAAATAGAATTCATTCATTTCTTTGGACACAGCAAAGCCCAAACATCCAGGTGAAGAGTTAATCAGTTCATCAGCATTAAACTTCTAAAACTACAATACTGACTATGTGTGAAAACGCTACAATAAGCAACCAGAAAAGATGCAAATAAAAAACAGGCAAAAGCAGATGATACTTCTCAGTAAAAATTGAGAGAGTTAAGTTAATTAACATTTGCATTTCTATTTTTTCTTGAGTCATTTAGCTGCTTTCCATCTTTTTCTTTCTGTTTGTTTTTCCCCAGTGAGCTGTAAAACCTGTAAACTACTTTAATTACTATTCCCATGTTCAAAATTCTCCTGCATACTTTACGTTAAAGACTAAGGAGCTTGGACAGAAAAGCATCTGGACTTTCCAAGCTCCTTAGACTACAATGACTTGGATGACTCAGAACCTTCACAGACATATTGCAGTTTACATTAAAGACACTTTTTTGGCAGCTGCCTGAAAAACGCTGGAG